CATTTACTGCTGGTAGAAATGTTTTTTTTTAAAAGAGCAGCCACTACGGGGCTGGAGGGATGGCTCAGCGGTTAAGAACACTGACTGTTCTTGCAGAAGACCCAGGTTCGAATCCCAGCACCCACATGACAGCTAATAACTGTCCGTCACTCCAGTTCCAAGGGATCCAACAGCCTCTTCTGTCCTTCATGGACACTGCATGACACAGGTGCTCTTACCTACATGCAGGCAATACACGCATATACATTAAATAAAATAAATATTTTAAAAAAAAAAGCAGCCGCTAGAAACAAGCCAGCATGACTCTGCAATCCCACTCCTGGGTACGTACCCAACATGCATGAAGACCTATCTCCACACAAATTTATAGAGGCAAAACAAGCAAAAACAACCGAAATCCAGCAATGAATGGATGAACTGTGGTGTCACCACACAACCAAGTACCATTCAGCCACACAAGGAATGAAATGCTGACATGCTACAATGTAGACAGATCCTAGCATTATGCAAGGCCAGTAGTGGTGGCACACACTTTAATCCCAGCACTCGTAAAGGCAGAGGGAGGCAGATCTCTGTGAGTTCAAGGCCAGCCTGGTCTACATAGTGAGATCCAAGCCAGCTAGGGTTACAGAGTAAGACCTTATCTGAAAAAACAAACAAAACAAAAATTATGCAAATGAAAACAGAGCCAGACACAAAGGCCATATATGAACTATTCAGAATAGACACATCAGCCACGTATGGTGGTACAGACCTATGATGTCAGCACTGGGGAGGCTGAGGCAGGAAAAGCACAAGTTCCAGAGCAGCCTAGGCTGCAGTGACCACACAAGGTCTGCCAGGATATCTAAGCAAGACTCCCATCTCTAAAAACAGAAATGTAAAACAAAGAACTCAAAAGGGCATCCTCAAGACAGACTCAGATTAGTGGTCAGCAGGGCTACAGGGAAGGAGCATGCAGTCAGCACTGATGGACACAGGGCTCCTTCTGGGTGACAGGACTGAATTATAACACTGAGGATGACTGCACAACTCTCAATATACCAATGAGCACAGAACTGTATACTTTAAAAGCTGAGTTTATGGTATATGAGTTACAGCTCAATTTAAGTAAAAAGGTGGAAATGGATTTGCTTTTAATACTGTGTTTGTTATTTTTATCTTATATGTATGAGTATATTGCCTGTATGTATCTATGTGCATCCATGTCGTACAAAGCCCACAGAGGTCAGAAGATGGCGTCAGATCCCCTAGAACTGGAGTTACAATTGTTAGCTGCCATGTAGATGCTGGGAATCAAGTACATGTCCTCTACAAGCACAGTCAGTGCTCTTAACCACTAAGCCATCTCTCCAACCCCCAAATGGATTTATTATTAACATCAAAAGTAAAACTCAAAGCAGACTATAAAGATTAAAAAGGGACATTATACAGTAATGAGTCAGTTACTGATTCATTCACACACATACAAATTTCAACTTGTATACGCTAACAGAGCTTAAAAATAAATGCAACAAAAATTGACAAAAATGAAAGAAAAATAGATCCACAATTATAGTTGTACATTCCTCTCTCAATAACTGATGGAAGAAGAAATCAGCAAACATATATAATATATATAATATATAATACATATAACTACCACTAAACAACTAAATGCATTTATAGAATATTCTATTCTAACAGTAATACATACCCTTCAAGTGCACAGCAAATACTCACTAAGACATACCAGACTATACACTGGGGGACATAAAACAAACCATAATAAATTTAAAGCACTGAAACCACAGAGTATGCTATCTGCTCATAAATGAATTAGGACTATAAATCCACAACAGTAAGATAACAGAAAAACTTCCAGTATTTGGAAATGAAACAACAAAATTGAGCCGGGCGTGGTGGCGCACGCCTTTAATCCCAGCACTTGGGAGGTAGAGACAGTGAGTTCAAGGCCAGCCTGGTCTACACAGTGAGTTCCAGGACAGCTGGGGCTACAGGAAGACCCTGTTTCAAAAAGACCAAAAAAAAAAAAAAAAGAAAAGAAACAACAGAATTGTAAATTGACAGAAGAATAAAGCTAGGAAAACTAGGAAATATACTGGGACAAATGAAAATAGAACATAACATCAAAAGTGGAGGATGAGGCAATGCTTACAGACAAACTCATAACATTTATACCATGGAACGTTTACACTGGAAGTCTCAAATCAGTAAACTAAACTTCCACCATAAGAAGACTTTTAAAAAGAAAAATAATTAAGGCAAATAAAAGAAACCAGGTGTGTTGACTCCTACTGGTAATCACAGCACTCAGGAAGCTGAGGTGAGAACAGTGCCATAGATCCGAGGCTACACAGGAAGTTCTAGCCTGATCCTTCTCAAAAATAATAAATAAATAAAATAAAGCATAAATTAGCAAATGGATAAACAAACTGTGACTATCCTAACAGAATGCTTCTCAGCAATAACAAACATTTTTGTTAGGCATGGTAGCACACGCCAATAATCCCAGCACTTTGGAGGCAGAGGCAGGAGGATTCTGAGTTACAGGCAAAATCTGGCTACTAGTAAACTCAAGGCCAGCCTGAGCTACAAAGACCTTGTCAAAAATAAAAATAAAAAGACTATGAAGGGGCTGGGGAGATAGCACAGTTAGTACAGTTCTTGCTGTGTAAGTGTGAGGACCGAGTGCAAACCCTTCACACCCACATAAAACCCAGGTACAGTGGCATAAATCTGTAATCCCAGCACTGGTAAGGCAGACCCAGCAGGATCCCTAGAGCCAATCAGTCTAAAGGAATCAGCAAGCTCCAGGTTCAGTGAAAGCCTCTATCTCAAAAAATAAGAGGGAGAGAGCCAGCAAGAGGGCTTCGTGAATAAAGATGCTCCCCATCAACCGTGACAACCTGAACTGGATCCCCAGAACTCATGTAAAGATAAAGAAGACTGACTCCACAAAGCTATCTGCTGACCTCCACATGTGTATCATATCATGCACAGCCCCACATCATACACATTTCACACACACACACACACGTGAATTTTTTTTTTAATTTTAATAAATAAGGTGGAGAGCAACTGAGAAAGACACCTGATGTCAACCTCTGGCCTCCACATGCACATGTGTGTATATATATATATTCAAATAATATACATACATACCAAAAAAAGGAGAAAAAAAGATTAAAAAGGAAAAACTTCCACTTATCACAAAGCATATATTTTCTATATAGATATAAAAAATCTCAAAGAATCTATAAACTTTTAATCTTTTTTTTTTGTCTTTTTGACTCATTATGTAGACCAGGCTGGCCTCAAACTCACAGAGATCCACCTGCCTCTGCCTCCCGAGTGCTGGGATTAAAGGCGTGCACCACCACGCCCAGCTAAACTTTTAATCTTAAAGGATAAACCATTAGCATCTACAAGTAAACTATTAAAACCCAAAGGAGGCTGGGAGCTATAGCTCAGTGGCAAAGTGACTGCTCAGCACACACAGGACCGTGCACCATAAAAACTGATAAATAAAACCCCAAAGATCTACTGGTAAAATTAACAGAAGAGTTAACATGAGTGTGAGACAGCTGTAAAAGGAAACTTCCATAGCCACACAGCATCAAAAATAACTGAACTACTGTCAACAACCTGAGTGAGTCTCACAGACTGTAAGTGGAAAGACTCAGAGCATGCACTACGTTCTACTTACACATCCAAAAACAGCAATCAATCTATGGAGTGAAGACTAAGCTGGCTACTTGGCTGAGAACAGTGGTTCCTTTCAGAGGAGAGAACAGGGACTGCTGGGATTCAGGGCCAGTTTCTAAACTTCTAATACTCCACATCTTGATCAGGGTGCCTACTATAGGTGTGTTCACTTTGTGACAATTCTGCTGAGCTGCAAACTTTTGGTTCCTGCACTTTAAAGTACATGTGCTGCCTCAGTGTTTTCAGAGTTCACTACACGTGTTTCCAAGCATGTTCTTTTTAACACACTTAAGGTCTACTTTTTTTCCCTAAGAAGTAAAACCTGAGCTCTGACATATCAAAGTATGGTGGCTGCTTTAACTTAATCCTCATCTCTGTGCTGCACATACATACTTAACGTTCTATTTTGTCAAATTATGCACAGCACAGGCCTGCGCAGACTCAGCCTTCACATCTTTAGTTCATTGTCTAAGATTGCTTCCCTCTTTATACTCCAACTCACTCTGATTACCCAATGTGATGTTAATTCCTCCAAGACCCTTCCCGCCCTCTCCCCCAAAGCCAACCACTTCCTCTTTTGTATTTAGTACATCTATTATCACACACAACTATCTCTATATGTGTCCATCCATCTATTGTCCTAGAAACAATCTATGCACAAGAGCTAAGCTTTTAAGTTTCCAGTACCTAGAATGAGACTTCTACGTGGTAGTCACTAGTAAATGTCACTTCATGTGTCTATCCTTAGGAAATAAGACAGTAGGACAGCAAGATGGCTCGGCTGGTAAGGGCACTTACTGCCAAGTCTGACAACCTGAGTTTGATCCCCAAAACCCATAATGGAAGCAAAGGACTAAGTCCCTCAAGTTGTTCTCTGACCTCCACATGTGCACTGTGATACATGTTCACACACACACACACAAGTGTAATAAAAAAATTTTAAAATAAAGGGCTAGAGAAATGGTTCAGTGGTCAGGAACACCAGTTGTTCTGGCAGAAGACCTGGATTCAGTTCCCAGCACCCATACAGTGGCTAACCACCCTTCATAACTCCAGTTCCAGAAGATTCAACACCCTCTTTGGGCCTCCAAAGGCATCCCATGCAGGCAAAACACTCATACAAATAAAATAAAATAGAATTTTAAAAATAACAAAGTCAACCATCCCAGATGAAGCCTACATCTTACACTTCCTCCACAGCAAAGGGCACAAGCACAGCAACCACACTGTTAGTGGAACTTGTACCAAGACTCAGGGCATGAACAAAATGTTCATGTTAAGTCACAGAAGCCCTATATACATGCCCTTGTAGAATTGGAAACATCTGTTTGGCTGGTTGGTTTTTTTTTGTTTTGTTTCAATTATTTCACTTACTATTCTCGTGTGTGAGTGTAGTGCCTGCGTGTAAGTGCACCATACTGAGGAAGCACGGTGCTAAGCATGAAGTGGCGGCAGCACGTAACTGACCAGATTTTCTTGCAGTTCTTAAACCAACATATTCACTGTGATCTTCGCAACACTACATTCTTATTTGGAGAGGGTCTCCATGACAAACTCTGTTAGGTGTAACTTGTCCATTTAAAAATCTGGTTATTGTTTGGTTGTGGCAATTAAGCAGTTTTCAGAGTACCAATAATTAGCTTTCACCAATTTTTTCTACATTTCTTTCTTTTGTGTGTTTGTACATGTGTATGGGTGTGCGCATGCCAGGGTGCCTGTGCAGGTCAGAGGACAACATGCAGGAGTCTGTTCTCTCCTACTACATATTGAATCCAGAAATCAAACTTGGGTAGCCAGGCATGGCAGCCAGCATCCTCACCAGCTAAGCCATCTCACTGGTCATAGCTTTAAAAGTAGCTTTTATCTTTAGAGCCAGAGAGATAGCTCAACAGGTAAGAGCCATCTTACAAACAACCAGAGTTTGATTCCCAGCACCCACATGGCAGCTAACAACTGTCTGAAACTCCAGTTCTAGGGCACTGGATGCCCTCTTCTGACCTCCGAGGGCATTGCACAACCTGGGTGTACTTACATACCTGCAGGCAATATACTCATGCACATAAGAATAAAAATGCCAGGCATGGTGGTGCAGGCCTTTAGTCCCAGCATTAGGGAGGCAGAGGCAGGCAGATCTCTGTGAGTTCCAGGCCAGCTAGTCTACATAATGAATTCCAGGCCAGCTTGGGGCTACAGGGAGACCCTGTCTCAAAAAGGCACATTAAGTGGCTTAGTACACTTATATTCACTTATATTATCAAAGTGCTGGGGCCAGTGAGACGGTTCAGCAGGTAAAGGCATTGTAGCCAAGCCTGACGTACATATACACAAATGTTTAAAAATGTTTTTTAAAGTTATCACAGTCTTTTTCTGAGAGGAAATTTCTCAGATTTCTTTCACTGTATTCAAAGGAATATAGTAAGAAGGAATAATATTGTTTCACCAATATGAAATCTTGGTAATGGTTCTCTAGAGACAAAACCCAGTAAGGTGTGTATATAGGAATATGAGAAGGGACTTATGGGAGGAAGTTGCTCACACAACTCTCGTGTCGAAGACGGCTCTGTCTGCAAGCTACAGCTGAGGATGCCAGCCACACAGCTCAGTTCAAACCCCAAGGCCTAAAAACCAGTTGTGCAATGATGTAACTCTCAGTCTAAGGCTCAAAACCTGAGAATCCAGGGACCACTGGTGCAAGTCTTAGTGTCCAAAGGCCACAAGTTCCAGTGTCTACAACAGCAAAAGAAAACTGTCCTGACTTCCAGGAAGACCAACTCACTTTCTGTATCTGTCTTTTATAGGCCCCAACCTACTGGATGGTCCCATACTGTGCTGGCTCCTTCCTGCCCACTCCATACAGACTCAACGTTAATCTCCTCTGGAAACAACCTCACAGACACATCCTAAACAATGCTTAGTTTAACTCTGGGTATTCACTGTGTTTAACAGGATGCAACCATCATCCATAGGACTGTAACTGTTCTCAGTCCTTCCCCATTTTTCAGCTTTCCACTCCTTTTCTTGTTGCTATAGGAATTGCAAGAATTCAGGTTTTCAGAGTTCTGGCTTCCAGGGTTTCAACATTCAAGACTTTATTCTTTCAGAATCATGATTTTTGAGATTTTAAACTGTAGGCTTTCACATTCAGGATCAGGGCATTTGGAATGCTATCTTGCAGGACTACGTCTAGTACCACTCATTTGGTGCTTTCCCACAATCCAAGCAGCTCCCCTTTCATACCCTGTGGTCCAACTGCTTTAGTACTTCATATTTAAATAGCTAACCTCGGAACTGAAATATTTTTTTAAACTTTCATTTTACAATTGGCTCAAACACATGAATACTAAAAGTACCAACAAGTTCAACCAGGAAAACACCATTTCCAGTTCCAATATCAAGCACTGAAGCATCCAATGGGATCTTGTGTTTCTGCATCCACCTTATTAGTCGTTTCATACTCTCTTCCCCAAACCTGTCAGGAACAGAATTAGTTACAAATAAAACATATACAGGAAAAGGCACATCTATATCCCACTTAAGGTGTTCATACCATGGGCCCATTTAAGTCTTCTTTGAAAGTGAGAAGCAGTATTTGTGTCATTTATAAGCTTTATCTCTATTACTATTTAGGAGAAAACACTGCTAAAAACAGAATACCCAAGGTCTACATATGTGTATTGAGTACTTAATATATGTACATACACACATATACACACATATATATCTGTATGTATATGCACACATACATACATATTAGGAATATACACATACATCCATTTGTATACACACACATATATACAAATATACATACATAAACACACAGATGTGTATAAACATATAGGAGAAGGAACTTATGGGATATACATACACCTATATAATAATATGCATATACACACATACATACACGTAAGTATATATAGATGTACGTGTAAACATACATACATACACATAATATACATCAGCGTTGACCCTTAAAGATGTTGTCTGACAGCAGCTGTCTTAGCCATCAGCAAAAGCTGGTATTTCAGAATTTCACTGCTTACTGAAAAATGACAGCTATAGAATGAAAGTAATTTCTTAGAACTACAATCAATTTAAATCTGGGTCACTAAAAAAGAAAAGAGATACTTTATATATACCATTTATACCAGACTCAATCCCAGGGCTCCCAAGAGCTTTAGGCTGCTTGTGGCATCATCACTCACACGCTCACATGTGCTCACACATGTGTACACACACATACGATTTTCTGGACTGTAATTGGTTTTCTCTACTCACCAGATTTCTCCTGTATCTCCATATTCTCGGAATGTTTGCAGTTCTCTGTCATAAACAGCATCCCAACTGTGTAAACAATGAAATGCAAAGAAGATTCTAGAATTAAACTGTACTGTCAAGCCGATGGATGTTTCCAATATCTTACACAGCTACTTGTGATGGGTTTAAAACATTAGTGTTATCAGTAAGTGCATACAGCTCAATTTCTTAACATCCTTGGGTTAAAAGAATGAAAAGTATGGGAAAAGCAGAATAAACTGTACAATATCTATGTTCATTTGATAAATTTTAGTTTACAAAACTACAGAGGCAGGGGCTGGAGAGATGACTTAGCTATTAAGAGCACTGGTTGCTCTTGCAGAGGACCAGAGTTCAGTTCCCAGCACGCACATGGTGGCTAACAATCTTCCAGAACTCCAGTTCCAGGGGATCCAATGCCCTCTTCTGATCTCATTGACAACACCTACATGCAGGCAATACACTCATTACACATAAAACAAAAATAATAAAATATTTTTAAAACCACAGAGGCAACTGTCCAAGAATCTCAAAGTCCCAGACTCAAATCCAAAACTGGACAGTACAAGCACGAAGTTGTTACTCCTTATTTGGTCTTCAGTGTGCAGATGCAGAGAGTGGTTTGCTCATCAGGAAACCCAGCACAGGTAAAATGGGCTTAAAAGCTGAAACCAGTCTCTCTTGTACTAGCTCTGCTTCTCCGGGTATCCGACTGGCTCAGTTCTCTTAGTCCTTTCAACTGCAACCCTCCACTCCCCCACCCCTTAGCATTTGCTTTCTTCCTATTTCACGTCTACAATCCCTGCTCCCTCCCCAAGTTTCCTCTCATGCTAATCACTGTTCCACACATTCACTCACGTTAATTCATTAATTTCTCAGCGTCTGCTTTAGGTAAGATCACTCCCTGGGCTGCTCAAAGCATCCTCCACTCGGACCCCTTCCAGGTCCTTCCAGGTCCCTCCAGGTCCCATTCCTTAGCCTGGCGTCTCCCCGTGAACCAAGCCGGCTCGGATTCAAGACCCCCTCGTCGGCCTCCCGACGGTCTCCTCGGAGCGGGCTGCGCACCCCGCAAACTCCGAAGCTTTTAACTCTGTGCAAGCCCGACTGCGGCCCGGGGGGCGTCAGGGGCTCCTCCTTCCCGACGCTCCCCGGGCTCCGGATCCCAGGCGCAGATCCCGCAGCGCAGCTCGGCCTCCCCGCCTCCCCGCCGCACTCACTGCGCTCGGGTCCCCAGCGCCGACGGGACGAAGCCACCTGCCGTGGGGCTGCCCGCTGCAGACCGCCCTGCGGCAACCACACCGCCGCTGCCGCCAGCCTCCGCGTTCATCTCGTAGGCGCGCAGAAGGGCCCCTGGGGCCACCATAGAGACACGGCGCGGGCAGAGGGGACGCGCGGGGCTGGCCGCTCTAGGCAACGGGAGGCCGCCCTCTCAACTGCTCCAGGCGGGCCCGGCGGCCGCGGGGCTGGTCCCCAGTCTGAGCGCTCTCCGAGAGCTCCCGAGCCAGTGTCACAGGCACCCCTGCCTTTCTACCTCTCAAGGCGACCTTATTTAGGGACTGCTGTTTTTAAATGATCGTTCTAAGAATTGCATTTTGGAAAACGGCTAGCAGAAGCCACAAAAACACCTAACTTGGGGGCTGGAGAAATGGCTCAGCAGGTAAGAGCTGCTCTTGAGGAGGACTGGGGTTCTATTCCTAACACCCACAAGGGGACTAACAACAATCCATAATTTTATTTCCAGAGGATCTGACGCCCTCTTCTGACGTATGCGGGCATTGCACGACACGAGTGCACTTACATGCCGGCAATGCACTCATACACATAAAAAACACACACCTATCAGGTGTGGTGGTGCACGCCTTTAATCCCAGCACTCGGGAGGCAGAGGCAGGCGGATCTCTGTGAGTTCAAGGCCAGCCTGGTCCACATAGTGAGTTCCAGGACAGCTGGGGCTGCAGGAAGACCCTGTCTCAAAAAGACAAAAAACAAAAAACCAAAACAAAACAAACAAAAAAAACACAACACACACACCACTCAACAGCAATGCCTAAGTCGTTTTATGTGGTAGGCAGACCTGAGTAGGTGGGACAGTCCATCGTGACCAGAAGACAGATTTCATTTGTGGCTTTGTGGCTGGGATTTTGGAAAGAGCATTTTGCCCTTTTCTGACTTGATGCCACAGGCTTACAGGAAGGGAAATGAATGCCCTAGGGCCACCCATAGTGCAGCAACCACCGAGTAGCAATAGAAAGATTAACAGAGGAATAGAAGGCCTGGGTGGGTGTAACACTGTCCCCAGCTAGGCACCGGACATTGTGGAGTCTCAAACTCAGCATGCATTAGTTTGGGTGCTGTATATCACCCTCAAAACAGATGGGGTAACTTGTTCCTCAAGACTGCTCAACACATGAACCTGAGCTGCCTTCTAGCTATTGGTCTTACCAGAGCTAGTGTTCTGCACTATAATGCAAGAGATCTTATGTGCCAAGGGATCTGGGATATTTTCTGTACTAGCAATTCTCATGGCCCAGTGTTCTAGGCAAGGACTCAGGGGCCCCTTGCAAACGAAAACTTGTTTCCAAGGCTACATTTCTGTTGACTCCACAGACAGAAGCCCAATAACAACTCTCTTGAGGCAAACAGCATCGACACTTGCCCTCTAGGTTTCAGTTCGTCTCCTCCTATACAAGGTGTTCCAAGATCTTCTGGCAATACAGAATAAAGTAAAAGGCAGATGGAAATCCATGTACATAGTGATTAAAGAATGCAAGAAAGAGCGTAAGTAACCTTACTACAGAGCAATAAAACCACCGGATACCACAGCCAATTAGTGATGCCCAGGGCAAATGGCTGTTTTGATCTTTTCTAGGCTCTAGATGCTACAGAAAGCTAGCTTGAGTGTGACTGAGTGAGTCTTTAAAAGTTTAGGTTCTAATTAAGAAGTACCCATGAAAGATAAGCCTGTCTTCAGACCAGTATCTTGCCAACACTTAAGATGTTTTGCTCTGTGGGATGAAAGCTATAAACAGTTGTTGGTATTGAGCCCTGGGGGGAAAAAAAGCATGGTTTATATTGAGTTCTTTCCTGGCTCCAGGAAGGATTATTCTGGCTACCCAGTCCTGAGGGCTGTGGGAGCACCACCTCTGATCACCAAGGGAAACAGGATTCTTGGCAAGAGGAGGAAAAGTTCCATCAAGTAAGCTGTGCATCAGGGAGAAACAGGACCATACAAGGAGCACAGTCCTCTCCCCACCCCTTCTGCGTACCAGTTACACAAGAGGAGGCTTGCACACTCAAGATTGCCTGTCTCCTGTTTTCTGATCCCTGCACACTGGCACACTGTATTTAGCCACAGCTTCTCTGGAACTGTGCTTCCCAGAGTTCCCAAGCACTTGTTTGACAAATCCAAGCTCAAGGGCAGAAATTTCCCTTCCTTTACCATGCAGCGATCGGCACCACAGAGCACACTTCTTGAAGAAAACCTGCTCATATTCTCCCACCATCTTCTATGTCTGCTTTGATGTGAGCTTTTGAACGGGGGGGGGGGCACTAGGCACCTAGTCCTGCAGTTGGACCCCCATGTTTTGACCCCTAGCATCATCATGGGCAGATTCTTTAACTTCCTCAGGCCTCAGTTTGCCCATCCTGTATTATAATAAGGCACCTATCTTCACATGGGGGCAGTTATAGAAATCAAATGTTAAACCCAACCTGCCTGATACATGATACATGGTCAGAAAAGGTAAGCTCAGTTCTTCAACTATAAAATGGAACTTAAAATGAGTCTACTAGGCCAGGCATGGTGGTGCATGCCTTTATTCCTAGCACTCAGGAGGCAGAGGTAGGAGGAGCTCTGTGAATTCAAGGCCGGACTGGTCTACATAACCATTTAGAGACCAGTCAGAGCTCCACAGTGAGACTCTGTCTCAAAAAGAAAAAAAAAAATCTCCTTCAGGTTCTTCGGAGAGTTGTCAGGAAGATTATGTGAATACACTGTTTAAAGAGCTTAGTACTGGGTCTGACATGTAGTCAAAAATCTAAAATCCGAATTGTTCCAAAATCTGAAAGACTTCTGGTCTAAAACTGTAGTAACTTCCAACTTTAACCTCTTGCTCAAGCTCCAAATTTTTCTTGTAGCTGCCTGGATGTCCCTTGTTAATTTTAACTCAATGAAACTGAACTCACTTGTACCATGTGCTAGATAGCTTTAGTGTCAACTTGACACACCTGGGTTAAGGGAGCCTCAACTGGGGAATTGCCTCTATTGGACTGGCCTGTGGCTATGTCTGAGGGGCATCTTCTTGATTGTTGGGGATTTGGGAGGGCCCAGCCCACTGTGGGTGATGCCACCCCTGGGCAGGTGGGCCTGTGTTGCATAAGAAAGCAGGCTGAGCAGGGGCCAGAGAAGCAAGCCAGTAAGCGGCATTCCTCCATGGCCTGTGCTCCAGCTCCTGCTTCCAGTTTCCAGCCCTGAGTTCCTACCTTGGGCCCCTTGATGAACTGCAACTTGGGAGGTGTAAACTGAATAAACCCTTTCCTCCCCAAGTTGGTAGTGGTCAGAGTATTTTGTCACAGCAATGAAGAAGAAACTAAGACAGAAATTGGTACCAGGAGTAGGGTATTGCTGTGACAGACTGACCTTGGTGTTTTGGGGAGCACTGTGGAAGTCTTTGGAACTTTGGGCTGGAAAAGCCATTGCGTGCTCAGAGTTTGTTGCAGTGGAGCTTGGAACAGTTATGCTGAAAGAGTTGTAGATGACGGAGGCCTAGCTTGTGAAGCTTCAAAGGGAAGCAGAGACTATCAGGGCTATTCATGTGAGATTTGGGATTGAGAATCTGTGGGTTCTGGTCGGCTGGGGCAGAAGAATCAGCTAATCATCTGTGAGTAACAAGAAATAAGCATTATCAAGGTGGAATTTTCTAGAAAGCATTTCCTCAGGGTCAGCACACAGAAGCTATAGTTGAGTGGCTCTGAGCCTCTATCTCAAGCTGGAAGCAGGACTTGGTAATGTGTAAGAGTCTCCTGTACTGTTCTGGTGTTGAAAGCGTGAAGGGGTCATAGAGAGCAGCTGAGGCTTGGCACTCTAGGAGGCCAGGAAAGGCCATAGGTGAAAGTGCCGCTTCAGTTGCAGAGAAGACCCCAGGATTGAAGAGGTCATGTAGAGAATCTGAAGCATTGCACCCCGAGAAGCCAGAAGAAGACATTGGTGAGGGTGCAGCCTCAGCTTCAGTGGCGACCCTAGCTTTTTGGAGATGCCGGGACCATGGGACAACCACCAAGGACAGAGGCAGGTGTGGAATGGAGCTGGCCTGGGTCTGCGAGACAAGCTGAGTGTGCTGTGGACTGCAGTCAGAGCAATGGAGCTGCCAGTACATTTTCGAGCCCAGGAGATCGTGAGTGAATCCCAGATGTCCAGCCTCAAGCTACTTTGCTGGGCTTAGGTTTTGCTTAGGTGTGCCCGATTCTTCCTTTTGAAATAAGACATACTTGTTTTGGATTTTATAGAAGCCCACCCACAGTTAAGAGACTATTAACAGACTATGGACTTTTAATTGTTTGGATTTTTTAAGAACTGTGGGTTTTTTAAGGTTGTACTGTCTTACATTGTGATATTAATGTTAACATCATGTCTTGGGGACAAAATTGGAAAGCTTATGGTTTAATAGTGATGTTTGTGTGTCAAGTTGACAAGGGGTCAATTGTGTTGGATAGCTTTAGTGTCAACTTGACACACCTGGGTTGAGGGAGCCTCAATTGGGGAATTGCCTCTATTGGACTGGCCTGTGGCCATGTCTGTGGGCATCTTCTTGATGAGTGATGTGGGAGGGCCCAGCTCACTGTGGGTGGTGCCACCCCTGGACAGGTGGGCCTGTGTTGCTTAAGAAAGCAGGCTGAGCAGGGGCCAGGGGAGTGAGCCAGTAAGCAGCATTTCTCCATGGCCTGTGCTCCAGCTCCTGCCTCCAGGTTCCTGCCCTGAGTTCCAACCTTGGGCTCCCTAATGAACTGCAACCTGGGAGATATAAGCTGAATAAACCCTTTCCTCCCCAAGTTGGTAGTGGTCAGAGTATTTTGTCACAGCAATGAAGAACAAACTAAGATATACCACCTGTCCTCATGCCTCTAAACCCTTTTTTTTTGAAGTTTTATTTATTATTTTTATTTTATGTACATGCATGTATTGCCTGCATGTAGATAAGTACACCAATGTCATGCAATGCCCACAGAGGACAGAAGAGGCTGTCAGATCCCCTAGAACTGGAGTTATGGACAGTTGTTAGCTACCATGTGGGTGCTGGGATTCGAACTCGGGTCTTCTGCAAGAACTGTCAGTGTTCTTAACTGCTGACCCATCTCTCCAGCTCTAAACCC